AAGCTTGCAAAAATCCAACTGCATAAGAGCCTGTTTTAAATCCTATGGGTGCAATTCTTTTTGTTAGAGCCTTGTCTAAGCAACCTAACATCAAGCACCAATGGAATGTTTTTTGGAATGTTGAATCATTATTTCTATGATTCTATTTTTCAAAAACATATGGCTGTACCAGTACAAAAGGCTCCCTCCACCTGAAGCAAATGTCAGAGTTGCTAGGGGCTCCCAGAGCTGCTTTGCTGTTTTAAGGCTACTACTGCTTGCAGAGAACCATAAATAGCACTTAAAATTATACCTCCAGCTGGAAGCCTTCATACAGTCTTCCTTCTCTGAGTTTTAAAATCTCTCCAGAGGGCACCATTGTGTCAATTTGCATCTGAAAATCTAATAAGCATGAGTTTCTTTCACTGATCTGGGGGTGATCTATACAAAGGAAGAGAAAGCAATAGCAGAGACATTTTCATCAGGCTTCTCCTGGGATAAGGGAATTAGTGGACATTTCATGAGCCTGAATGCAAGTAACCTTAAGTGGAAGAACTCTGGTGTTTAAAATGCTGCTATTATGTCACCTCACAGAAGATGAATTTTTTTTTAAAGGTAGAAACTTTTAACAGATTCTTACTGTTTTATTTTACTATTAACGTAATAACAACTATGATGGAACTTTGTTCCTAAAGTTGGCTCAATCTGGTAGTGGACATGAATTATATCTTCTTTTTGTCTTCTACTCCTAATTTGTTTGAGCTTCCTTTACAACACCCATTAGGAAAATGAATAAACAAAGATATGCATTTGATTACTTAATAGTACTTCAGATGTTGAATAAAATCTGAAAGATAGAAATATAATCTCTTAGATAATAATCTATTAGAATATATTCTTATATTACATATTATATAATATATAATATATATAATATATATTATAATAATCTATTAAAAGTCCAATTTAAGTGAATGTTCATGGAAACATGAGCAAGTTGTAAAATATTTTGACGTACAGCAGAACTGTCCTCACACTCTAGCAATGAAATATTAGAGAGTAATGTGACATAAGGTTAAGCTTTTAGCGCAGTCATATCCTTACTACATCCTGTTGTTGCTAGTTCTGGTTGTTTCCTTTTTCCCGTGTTTGCTGTGTCCACTACAGGAATATTACTTTCTGACAGCAGGAGGAGAAGGCAGCATTCTGGGAACACATGAAGGGGATTAGTTAATTTTCCAGTACTCAAATTCTTGGCTGCCACCTTCTTCCATTAGGCAGAAATATGATGAGCTCCAATTTATGCCTGCACAAAGATGCTGAAATGTCTGTGATCAATTATTAAATCTGTAGAGTCAGGTTTTATGCCACTGTAAACATTTCACTAATTATGTTCACATCTCTGAAAGATTTTGGCTATTTTTGCTAGTTCTTTAGGTTCTCATTTCTTACATCATCATGATAAGCTGTAGCATCCGATTATCACAGTCACAAAATCATAGGGGTTGGAAGAGACCTGTACAGATTGAGTCCAATGCCCCTGCTGAAACAGGCTTTCCACAGTAGGTTGAATAGGCAGGTGTTCAGGTGGATCTTGAATATTTTCAGAGAAGGAGGCTCCACAACCTTCTGGACAGCCTCTGCCAGTGCTCTGTTGCCCTCACTGTTAAGAGGTTCTCCTGTATATTGGTGTGGGACTTCCTATGTTCCAGTTTTTGGCTATTGCCTTTTGTCCTATCACTATAAGTCACTGGAAATGATTCTGTGAGAAGAGTCTGACCTTGTCCAATTGCCTCCCATCTTGTTACTGTGAGATTATACTATATCTTAATCTCAGAATTGTTTTAAAGCTAATGAAAACTAGTGATTATTGCTGTGAGAGAGGCCTGCACTGTGCAAGCTGTCAGAAGAGTGACAGTCCAGTCAGTCATCTGAAATAAGTAATGCTTATCAAGAATTTCAGTATCTTCTAATGCCATTGACAGACTATGATGACCAAAGTGTAAGCAGTAAGATAAGAAGTGGCATAAAGTACTGATGGACCACTGTTCTCAGTAAGATAGCTTACTAAAGATCTGAAATTGTGCAGTGCTAAAAACTGTGCAATGGTTGATAAAATTGAAGATGTTAGTAATTCTGCATACAGGTTAGAAAGTAATGTTTTACCAAGTACTTTCTCTAGGCAACTGAGGCATTTGTCTTCCTGAATTTTCAATGTTTCTGATTTTGAGCTTGATTATAATTAGCCTGAAATACGTTCATTGCCTTTGGTGCAGTTATGTTGTTCTTGTTTTTTAGTGCCTGAGAAAATAATAAAGCTAAATGCTGGTAACTGGTTTTGGAATAAAATTAGGAGCATTACAGAAGCTGTATTTTTATGATGATTGTTAATTGTAGAGGTTGCTCCAATGGCTTGCTTGGCACTTATTGGAAGTTGTTTACTAGCAGACAGGATTATAGAATTATCTGGATGATACAGACTGCAACACCTATTTAATTTGTCTAATTTTTTGAACTCATTAGTCAAACACCTCTTAAAACTATGAGTAACAGCAAGGCAGTGATTTTACTGCAAAGGCATACACTGAGCAAGAAGATCATTGATTTTATTTTATTTTTTTCTCCCCTTAATGAGCCTGCTAATGTAATGGAAGATTAAGCTAATGAAAATTTGTCAAATTCATGGGCTGTTGGGTTGTTTGTGAGGGGGGGGTGGGGGGGGGAAAGCATTTTTGCCAGATCATACCTTCTTTAAAAATGGGCAGGGAGGATGTTTCAGGAGGAGTCCAGAGATTTGGTACCTCAACAGCAGCAGTGAACTGGATCCTGTCACTTACGAAATGTGGATAAATGTATATTATTCCTTTTCCAGACAAGCTATATCATTTGTTGAGAACTACCCAACTCTAAATATTCACCCATTCCCATTCTTCTCCAAGTCTTTGATACTGAAGATATAACTTAATGGGTTCCCAGAATTTTGGATGCAAGACAGTTCAAGCGAGCTTTTATGGGCGTACATTAAATGAGGCTTTTAAATGGAAAACAAACAGTGCTAAAGTATGATACTTGCCATCCGAAGTACACTTGACTATGTGTTGGTAAATATTAGGCAAGTTTTGTGAATTTTCTGTTCTAGAGCAGAACTGGAATCCTCCATATAGGAGGAAGAGCCTGAAAACAACATGATACCGCTTGTAAGAGATTTTTAATGTTTGCACTGGATAGATGTGTGAAAACCAAACTTGAGTGAATTGGTCTTTGGAGTTCTCTCAATGTTTACTTTTTTTCCTCCTCCTGATAGAAATTAAAATTGTTTCTTTGTGATAGCATGAGAATTAAGGGACTCCTTCCCTTTGCAGTATTTTCAGAATTGCCGTTTAGCTTGAAACATGTTATTACTCATGGAAACAGGCATAACTGAAGAGAAAAGCTTACTGGAAACATCTTTGCCCCTGTTGTTATATCGTGTTAAGTAAAATGAATAGAAAAGCTTTCTTAACCTCATACTTAACGTGTTTTGAGTCTTTAGCTTCTACTGGCATATTTCAAGTGTCTTCTATTGATTTGCATTACTTTTTTTCATGTCATCCTTAATATTATCAAGTCAAAATTGATGTTAAGTTGAAGAACTGTATCTGTTGAAGATGGAATTTTGCATGCCTTTTTTTTTTTCTTTTTTTTTTTTTTCTTTTTTTTTTTTTGCAATGAAAATACATTTAGACCCTGGAATTTTTCATCCTTAGAGACCAAATGGAAGAGCATAGTACAAATGAGATATTTAGTTTCAGTTTTCCAAAGATATTGTTCCCAAAATCGATCATGATGTGCAGGCTGAAAAAAACTGTTCCTGAACAGATTTTGATGGTATTCATTTTCTTTTGGAAATAGGAAGTGCTAAGTGATGTTAAGAATCAGTTTATAAAGTTCACAGCACTGACTGAGCTGATTAAGATTTCTTTCACTCTGATGCTGAGAGAACAGCAGGTCAGTAGATGCCTTGCTGTCCTAGATGCCACAAATATTAAAAAAAAAAAATAAAAATTCAGGGGTGCTTTTTACTCCACACTTGACTTCATTAAGGTTAAATGGGCTCCACTTTCATTCTTATCACATTTGTCATTGATGATAGCGAAATGTGGTTTGAGCTGGTTTTGCACAAATATCAATTTTATTTAAGTATGGAAGAAAAATCTTCTTTGTCTATGCTATTGAACAAAAGTGTATTGTATGGAGACTGTTTCCTAAGTTCTAGGAAACATTAAAAAACAACACAGATTACATAATGTAATTTATATCTGTACAATCACTGTATTATTTGACATGTTAAAATCTGATGATGACTGGCTGTCAGCATTTTGTGGGAAGCATTCAGAAGCATTCAAATTCATCAACATGAAATCCCAATATCAACTTTGGGAAAAATAGAGATTAGGAATTAATTTGTTTATACGATTTTTTTAAGATAATGTCTCCTTTATTTTGGAATTTTTACTTTGGCTTACTTTCACTCTTTTTATGTAGCCAAGACAACATAGCTTGAATTAAGAATTTAGTAACATGCATTGGCAAAAAGAGTGAATTGTATGTTGGCAAAATGTTTGGAGATGGGAGAATGGTATTTTTGCAAAGGTAGCAGATATATTTGAAACAACACTCATACTGTTTGTGTGCTGTTAAGTTGCAAGGAGGAGGTTAATTGTACTGGTTTGGCACAAACTGAAGAAGTAGAAATTGAGGCTTAGAAAATACCTATGAAGAAAGAAAAAGCTGGGTTTCCTTAGTCTAGAAAAGAGAAGATTAGATATGGATGAAACAGTTCTTCAATATGTAAAATACTGTTGGATTTAATACATTCAGAAGAAGGTATGTTCTAGCCATTTAATTCCTTGAAGTAAAAGTGCTGGAATTCAATGCTAAAAAAAAAACAAAACCTGAGATAAGGAGATGCTGAACTTAAGGATGTGAAATGCAAATAAACAAATACATAGTAATAAAAATTTTCTTTGTTTCCATTTTAGTGTCCTGCTTCTGAAATTCATATGACTACATTTGGAGGTTGTGTCCAAGAATTTTTTTAACTAAAGGTCCTTGTTCGTTGAGTGGATGCCTGATTGCCTCCGATTGAATTCCAAAACAATAGCTTAGAATTTAGATAGAGATAGATGATGTCAAGATGGCCTGAGCATCACACTTAGTTTTCTGATCTCTTCAATGTGTATACTGTCACTATTACATACAACACAGCTAACTGTTATTTCATTCATGCAAGATTAAAACCAGACAGATCACGTCCTTGTATCATAGCTTTCATATAATTAGCAGAGTGAAATTATTTCCTGCAAAGCCTAACGGATGCAAGTCATCAGAAGATGAAGTTATGAGGAGTGGAATTTCAATGGATATATAGCTTCAAATACCTCAAGCAGTACTTCAGTTATTTCTAAGAATTTAAATAACCTTACATCCCCTGTTAAGCAGCAGAGCTCCACTAATATCAAGAAAACTGTCTTAATTTAAACTTGCTGAGGTTATGCCTATGAATCTTTAGAGAGAAACAGAAATAGTTACAGTCTTTCTAAATTTTCTTTTGAGTAAATGTTTCTTGGAGCTGCACTGCACTGACTTATCTTATGCATTTGGGTGTCTTCTAATGTAAATTGTGCTTCTTGGGTTCTTTTTCACAAAGGCAGGTGCTAGGGGAAAAGGTAACAAATAGATGTATGCAGCATATAGATCTGATGGGGCTGAATTAGGGTTTAGGTCCAGCTCTGTTGCCTACATAAACCAGTAGAACTTCTCCTGTGCTGCCCTATGTTAAAGATCACTTTTGAATTGGGATATTAAAATAGAACCATCTCTTTCCACCGTTGGGTCCAGTTGTTGTATGTGCGAGTTATAGTCTTCAGTAATGACATCTCTCTTACAAACAAGTCTGTGTTATGGTTCTAAGATTATGTGTTAGAGTAAATACAGTCACACTGAGCAAAGAACTAATACTTTTAAGTGTTGGTGACTCATCCACAGTAATTTAGCAGGTGGCTGCCTACAATTTCCCGGTGCCATCAATCTCCTAGGTAGTATTATTTCCTGCCTTCATATGTATGGAGGAGGATATTATACACTGTGAATTTCTGATGATGGGGATGATACGTAGCCTTTGTATAGTGTTTTTTTACCTTCAGGGCAGTTTACAAATATAACTTAATGTTTTAATTCTTTATGTTTTAATTCTTCTAATGAAGAAGAATTTATGAATTTGTTTCAATAATTCTAATGTTTTAATTCTTCTCAGTTCACATGCTGAACTTAATGTTCATCATCCACTTCAAAGTTAGTAAGTATTGCTATCCCTTTTTTATAGTGTGGGGAATTGAAGCGAAGGAGTTAGCACAGCTTCACAAGACTTTGGAAGGAATCATGTCAGTAATTTGCCTAGATTTTATTCATCATTTCATGTTTCTTTATTTATCCCATTGTTTCCTGGTGTGAGTATTGAACAAAGTGTAATGTCAGAGTGCGCTGATATTAGGTAAGCAATTGCAAGTGGTACATGTTTTAGAAATTCATAAGCTAAGAATTTTAAAACTTCTGATTCATAAGACAGTATGAGGTAAAGACATTCACATTGTTTTACATGCTAGTACAGCTGTGGAGAATGGCTGTAAATCAAATATGCAACTTTGTCTGTCCACAAAAAGAGAAAAAGGATAGATGTATAGTTACAAAAGAAGAACTGAAGAGGCTTTCTGTTTCAAATCTAAAATAAGTGGTTTCTTTGTATTTTTTTTTTCTTTAATTCCTGAACACTTCTAGAAATAAGCTTGTGATTTCTGACTAAGGATTTATATTTAGAAAAATAAGTGTTTGGCTTAACGAACTGTTAACTTGTGGTGATAAGCATCCTTTTGTAGAATTTAGGAGTAACGACCTTTCTTAATGCTTTCTTCTTTTATGGTTAATATGATGAGCATAGACTCAAAATACTTCCAATTTTTCGATATGGTTTTAGGTCACTGTAAGTATTTGAGTCCTTTTGGCCTTATGTGAAAAAAATAAAAATAAAAAAATTACGACTTGATCTAGTAATTACTTAAATTCATTCTTACATCTGTATGAAAGGTTGGTTATTGTGGAAGTAAATGTAGTTTTTTTTTTTCTCCACTTTAAATATATTTTTATTTTTGTGGGCAATTCTTTAGATGTACTGGTCTTTATCAGATCTTACATCAGTACGCACCAAAAGCTTAAAAATCTGGAAAAGTTGACAACACAGCAAACTGAGGCATAACATGCTAAAGTGAGGAGTACAAAGATCAACTATGTTATCCAGCAGAGAGTACTCATTTTTCAGTACCAATGAAATCTGTCTTTATAGTGATGAGCATCCAAACGCGTACTTTCAAGACAACTAACGCACATTCCTTTTGCAAACTTAGCAACTACTGCTAAAGTATTTGTGGAAAGCTCAGCATTACCAGTTGCTGGGGAGCTGAGGAAGACTTTCCTGCCTTGGAGGGACAAGTTACTTCTCTTCAATTCTGTTGCATCTCGTGAGCTGAATAGCCCACTGCATCTTTCCTTCAGTGTGAATATTTATACAGTTTCTCTCGCGTATTCTCTTCCTTATGATCTCAATATTTGTAAGAACTATTTTTAAGACATCTTTCCTCTACAAAATTAAGCCAAAATAGGGCAACTTGTTAAAAAGTAGCAAGAAAGGAGGCAGAATGACATATGCACAGATATAAGCATTCAAAGCCATTGTGATTTCCTGAAGAAATAATGCTTAAGAGACAGGCAGAAAACTTCAGCTCAAACAGCTCTGCTTCTCTAAATATTATTCCTTTCTCCCAGCACTTTTGAGAGCATTACAGAAGATGTGATAAGTAAAGACAACTTTAATACAGCTGTTTACTAAAGCTCTTGGGGAAAGTCTAGCAAAATATGCTTTCATAAATAAAACAGAGTTAATTAAGAACCACTTGAAAAGATAGCACAGGGGAAAGTTGGGAGAAAATTACCATGTAATGTGAGTGGTGGTTAGCAGAAGCATAATTCTAGCTGAAATGAGCCAGATATCTTACTGGGAGCTTGATTCATCCATTCCTCCTCATGTTGGTTAGCATCTTATTAAACAAATGATGCCATTAAAATTGATGGAACTGCTTGGCAATAATAATGGCAGCAGAATAAGGCTTTCTCTATGCAAGTTGCAACTAGAAATGTGATAAATGATAAAGAGAAGGATACTGTGTGAATGCAACAAATTTTAATATACGTGTTTATTTTTCAGAAGTCAGAAGCAAGTAATCTTATATGAAATGTGAAGGGACAGTGGTAGTCTGTAACACAGTAAGCAAACAGCACATTTTCTAAATAAGATTTTATGTGGCATAGTTACAAAAGTAAAACAAACCTGATCCTTGAGAATAGAGTGTCAAAATGTGGTCACTAGACTCTTAGCCTGTGCCGAAGGACATAAGTGGCAACTCTTAATGGTGACTGCTCTTAGTAAACAGTTTGGTTTGAATCCATTTCTAAGTGGTCAGATGCTGAGCTGCATGATTCCCGTGAAGGTGTTTGAGAACTGGTTTTGTTTTTCCAAAGTGGCATGGTGGCTGAATGATGATGTCATGGATGCCATGAAGTCTCTGGATAAATAGGCCAGTAATGAGAATGAGTTACTTTTGATTTTTGTTTTTTTTGTTTTTTTTTTAAACTGCACTGGAGAAATAAAGCACATCTTTGGAGGCTTTAGAGAGGCTTTCTTTAAGGTTTTCTGTGGTTGGAACGACTTTGTCATTTCTAACAGAACAGTTCTCTCAGTGTCTTGTAATACCTTCTGGTTGTTTTTTTTTATATGTTTCATTCATGAGGGATGTGCCTGGCTAATATTGTCTGTGTTAGATTTGCATTTTATGATGTAAGATATGCAGTCTACGGTCATTTTTTTTATCAGATCTCATGAACTGGCTAATTCTACCTTAGCGCTGTAGTTCTTGACACAGCTGGAGGTTACTCTTTAGGAAGTAAAAATAAATTACTAGCCCTATTTGCCTGGTTGTTCAGGGAAAGACAGCTATTAAGACATTGTCACATGTGTGTACATGCTGCCATTAGAACTATTCTCCTCAGAGCTTTTCTGAGGCCTTTGAGCTGTGGAAGAGCTGCATGGTGCACTACATAGAAACCTGCAAATTCTCAAATTCATGTTCATGAGGTGGGCTGTTTATTTAATTCAGATAAATGCTGTCTGTTATCCTTACGTTTAATCAAATACGCTTGTTAAAAATCTTTGTTTTGAAAATCGATCTGTAACTTCTGTCACAGTTACGTTTTTTTCTGATCCCATTTTATGTCCATATTCCCCTGTCTTTCCACTCAAAAATGGTGGAAAGTTCCATGATATCACTGTGACCCTTAAGTGGTGTTTCAAGTTAGCTTTTAAGAAAATTGTATATAGCACAAGTATATAAATTCTTCCCAATCATAAGTATTTACACACAGTATTACAACATAGACATCACTAAACCACTTTCCATGCTTTAAACAGTTACTGCTACGTTCATTTCTTGCTACCAAATGCCATGCTGTATTAGCAGTCTCCACACTGAGCTGCCTGTGCACCTTGAGCTGCCTTGACACACCCTAAACAATCAAAACAATATCATGCCATTTTTTTTTTTTCAGTACTGCTGCCTACACAAACCAAGTATTTGGTTGGGAAGGGCCAATGGATGTGGTGTCTTTGTATATCTTCCCCATGGGATAGGCTTGCTTGTAGGGGGGTGTAATTTCTCTACTATGCAAATTGTAAGGAGATCATTTGAAGAATAGCTTTTATTCAAACAAGGCATTTGAATTTAGTTTAGGATTTTACAGAGGCCTTTTCGAATTTTGCCACCAGGGTTTGTTTTTCTTCCTGCTTTTTTTTTCTTACCTCTTTCAGTACTCAAGGAAGAATGAATAAAAAATATAGTAGTGACAGTGTATGATATAATGTTGTGAGGTCTCATTTCAGAACAGTTTGGGATTTTTTTGTATAGAAGACTGCTTTGGGGCTCTGTGTGACAGACATCACACTATTGTATAACGATTGTCTTATAAAGCTTTAATAGTAATAAATGGCTAATGTAATTTTTTTTTTTTTTTTTGCACAGGAATACATATTTTTAATCTACTTGTAATTTCATAGCATTAACTTGTGGTTTCGAGATTGTCAGGGCAATGAATCTTGAAATATACTAGTTAAAGTTGCCATTTCTAAAGATAAGGATGTGCCTTGAAAAAATGAATTTATATTTGATATAACTGAGATGCAGGAAGGTAAGAAACTGTTATCCTTTCATCATGTTTCTTGGTACTCTGCGTAAAGGACAGTCTGTGGTGCAGCTGGTGCATAAGCTTAATTTATCCTGGAAGGTGGAATGAGCTTGGCCCCTAATAATCAGTGTAGGTGGATTTTAAATGAGCTTGATGACATCATAGCTGGCTACTTCTGCTTCTCTATATTTCTGAGGCATTTTTATTACTTATTGTGCTGAATACATCATTTGTAGTTTGTTGGCACTGTTTCCATGCTTAGTGGTTTAGGTTTTCTTTATTGGAATAAATGGTGATTTTGTTTGTGGATCCAGGAGAAGGAAGCTTTTATTATTTGGTCTTGGATTTACGTGCTTTGGCTCTCTCTAGCCTGTTGACAACTGCCCACCTGTCTCTGTCTCACACACTTACCTGTTTGCTTTGTCATGCACAAATTTATAGTTTTCCACTTGCTTTTCTACTTACACTGATAAATATGCAATCCATACAGTATTTTAACCCCATACTGATTACCATTTCCAATAAGTTAAAACAGGAACTATTGAAAGATGTATAACCTCAGATAAATTGTGTTTTTTATGTATGACTTCCAAGAAACATATGTATTTCTTGAAACCATCTGGCAGCTCAGAAGCACAGATGAAACTGAATGTAAGTTGCACTTAGCTATGACTTGTGTTTGTTTCAGTGCTTAACAGTGATCTCCCTCAGAAGAGGTTTCTGCTACTGCACCTAAATGTTCATTGCAAGTTACTGACTTTTTTCTTTTTTTTCCTCAATTATTATCGATAATGTTGATCATTAATCCTTTTGCTATATTTTTTAAAATAAAGTGGGGAATTATTCTTATTCTCTTGTTCCTTCAATATTTTCCAAATTAAACCAATTTCACTAATCACAACTAGTGTTAACAATATTCCTTCTGATTTTCCTTTTCTTATCTGTTTTGCCTTTTTCTTTATTTTCCTTAAAATGCATTATCTGCAACTGCATGCAGTGTATCGGCTCAGGCTGATTGGAGTAAAATTCTGCTAGACATCTCATGCTTTATATAAGATATCCTGGAGCTAACATTAATTGCTTATCGTATGTGAAGGTAGCTGGTATCTGTTCTTTTCTCACCAATCCATTTTTTTTTAAATGTAATCATTCTTCTTGAGTACTATTTGCCAGCAGCTATATTCTCAGCTCTTCTTGAAAATTTTTTCTCATAAATGTAAGTGTGCAGGCTAATTGAAACAGTGGAGCAGAATTTTGAAAAGGGATGCTTCCATTCATCTGTAGTTCTGAAGAAATGTAATTAAGTAACCAATGATATAGCATCCTATACATAACAAATTCTAGTGACCTATTTGCACAGTATTTGTACTCCACAGATTTTGTTTTGATGTCACTAACCCTTTATCTGGCCCTTATTTCAGATGTCTTGAAATTCTTCTGGGTTAATTATTAGTGAGAATCTTAGAATTTCTCCTTTTCAAATAGTTATATTCCTTGGTTTATCAGGTTTGTTTTTTTTTTTTTCTTTTTTTTCTTTTTTTTAAATTAAAGCTACTGAAGTAAGTTTAATTTAGTGTTATTATACTGTGGGATTGTGGATTTTTTTGTTGTTGTTTGACAAGTTATGCATATAATTGGTATGTTATCAATAAATAATATCTTAATGCTGTGCTATTTTATACAACTTACAATCAATAATATTTGAAGTTTGCTTGCATCATAAATTCAAAAAGTTCCAAACATATTTGAGGTTCATTTTTCTTCTGTTCTTCTTGTGGGTTTACAAGCACTATGTGTGTATGAACTTTGGGAAGCAGAATGCACCTGTCCCTAAGTTTAAGAGCTAAAGGGTACCACTCTTTTTCTTTCATTTTGAAATAGGGAAGATTATGTTGTGAACTCGTTTACTGACTACTAAATGAGGAAATATGACAACAATTTTATAACATGATAAAGGAAGAGCCACGGTCATGGTCTCATTTGTTTGTTTACTAAGCTAGTGGCATAATCAATTACAGCTTCCCTAAAGGGACGTTTGGTCTGCTAAGAATTCCACTGGGAAATATGGTGTTTCACATGCAGTCTAGATTTATTTTCTCATTCATCCTTTTTAGAAACTGCTTTTCTGTGAAGCTGAAGCTTTGTAGGAGTACTACTTAAGCTTCTTTTTGATGGAGGTCAATGGAATTAACTGACTTAAGTTATTTTTTTAAATCAGGCCTCTACGCCTCCTTATGTACAAAGTAGTTCTCTCACAAAGTTGTTTCCCTGTGTAGTGGAATTTCCATTGAAGAAAAATATCTTTGTCCTCAGGGAGAAGGAACAAATGAATTGTTCACTCATCTCATTCCAATTATCTCTTTAAACTCAGTAACATTGAAAAAACTGTGTTTTCTATAGACGTACTAAGATATTCCACAGTGCATGCTGATGTGGACAATGAAATGTTGAGAAAGAAATATCTGTTAACTACAGCTGTATTACATGGAAAAAAAAGGCACTTTAACAAATTGAGTTTCATAATAGAAAGGTAGGGAGTTCTTATCTTAACTCATATGTCAAATGAAGATCAATCAGCTCTTCAGTGTTAACTGCTTTTGAGCAGAAATTGCTGTAAATCACATCTATCTGCTGTCTGGCACGCATTTTTGGACTTTACAGTGTGCACTCAGCACTAGAAAATTCTATAGTAGCTTACAAAACTTTCCCTCTTCCAAACGAGTTTCAAGGATTCAGTGGTACCAGCCACCGTTTCAGACCTATGGAGGGCAATATTTACAACATTAGTTTTCACTGAGTCCCTACATCAACTTTAATTTTGATATGAAGCAGAACGGGGAGAAATAATTCTTCATGTTTACGAATTGTGGGAAAATGTTACTTTCTCTTCTCTTTTTATATGTGATTTCACATCCCAGTAAATCAGCTATGCTATGGACTATATTTTATTTCTCAAAAACCATTTCAGTAAATCATCTTTCATGATTTTCTTGTTAGTTTTCAGTGAAGTCCAAGAAGTCAATTTTGATAAGATTTGTGCTACACTTAATTTAATTGTTCACCATGCAATATCAAGTGCTCCTGGAATTCAGAGTGAAAAGGAATCTTTTATTAGAATGAAATTTCCAAGGTCTGTGTGCTCCTAAATCTTTCTAAGGATGAGCTCTCAGTGCTTATCTGCATGTATACGGCATTTTTTAGTGTTCCTGTAGATTGACAGCGAACATGCAGAGTTTCATGATTAACTTCAACAAAAGGTATCATAAAAACTGTTAAAACGAAAGGCAGATAGATCTGTTTTAAGGACATCTATCACAGATAGATGTCTGTTGCTGTACATTCAATCCTAACTTCTATGGGTCTTACTTTGTCTAAGTAGCACTGTTCCTCTCAGATATCACTAGCATTTGTAATGTGCAGTAGTAGAAGAATTTAACAGCTAGACCCAAATGCTGAGTGCTAGCTTTAATTAAGAACATTTCATGCTAATTTTTGGTAATAATGTCTTTGATTTGTAATTACATCTTCAGTCTCTGTTCCAATCTCTCATCTTCCTTTTCCTCTTCATCCTCATCTCTGTCTCTCTGATACGAGATGACTGCTTCTGAAAAGTTTCTTAAGCTGAATTGTATGTGGCTGAAGCCAGGTTGTTCCAGCAGAACCCCAAATAAAGTTCAGCTTTGGTACCTCTTACCTTTTCACATACTAGGAGACTGCCAAAAACTCTCAGTATGAGTCTTGCATTTGCAAGGATGGATTTAATTGTGGTTATGCTGTTCCTGCTGCAGCTAGGTAATTGTTTGTTCATAGTATTTTCTTTAGCATTACCTTTATAAAACAAATGTCTTGATTTTCAGAAATACTGAGATGTAAGAAAAACATTTGATAAAATTTGTGAGGTGTGAAGCTAGAGAGAAGCCAGTAAGAGTGGCTTTTGAGCATTCAAACAAGTACACGTGCCAAAACACTGTCCTTTAATCTACTTAGTATTGCTGGGAAGCATCAAAGAGAAGTTTTAAAGATGACTTGTGAGTAAGTTCCCTCCCTCCCCCCCCCAAAAAAAAAAAAAAAATTAAATTTAAATTAAATTTGTTTTCGAACAAATACAAATGTAAATTCTGCTTATAAAGATAATTTAATATATTAATATTTGGGAATGCTTACAGCTTAATTTCCAGAACTTGAGCTGCCATTTGATTCTTCCTTTAGTTTGTCACACTAGTT